GTCCCCCTACAGGAGGAATATTCAAAAACAGTCCAAACATAGTCTGCGGATGAGTTGCTTCAACATTTTTTGACTATTTGGGGGTATTGTTTGACTATGTTTGCTTTTTCCGTTCAGAATCCCACTGTAGGGGGACACGCCCAACTATGACCCTGGCCTCGAGCTGTCAGTTGCTGTCAGCTTTTGGCTATTCTGGTCCCCCCGGGGGCTGGTTGTGCGACTCCGGGCGCAAGCACTTGGGCTGATAATTTGGCCACCAGGGCAGGGGCCGAGAGCGCTCGCGCACCAGAAAAGCCCAACGGCCAGACGGGGAAGTAGTTGATTTTTGTCTGATGTCTACTGTGGTCTTTCTCCCTCGGGAGGGTGGGGAGGTGGAGGAAGTATAGGAGGTGGATGATGGTGATGATGATGATGATGATGATGATGATGATGACGATGATGATGATGATGACGATGATGATGATGCTGGCGATGATGATGACGATGATGATGATGATGATGATGATGATGACGATGATGATGATGCTGGCGATGATGATGACGATGATGATGATGATGCTGATGCTGATGATGATGGTGATGGTGATGGTGATGGTGATGGTGATGGTGATGGTGATGATGATGATGCTGCTGATGCTGATGATGATGATGATGATGATGATGATGATGATGATGATGGTGATTGTGATGGTGATGGTGATGGTGATGGTGATGGTGGTGATGATGGTGATATTCATGGTGATGGTGATGGTGACGGTGACGGTGATGGTGATGGTGATGATGAATGTGATGATGATGATGATGATGAGGAGGAGGAGGAGGAGCCGGAGCATGAGCAGGAGCAGGAGCAGCATGAAACGGGGGGAGGACGAGGACACGCTTCCTCACCGGGCATCTGTATAGAACCCTTACAGACAATCTGTGTAGAGACGCTTCCCCTTTCTTAGGATGCAACTCTTGGGAGGTTAAATCCAGAATCGGCACTGGCAGATCCGCGGTCGACACCTGGCCGAGTCTGGTTGAATCCCGCTCAATCAATCTGATTTATCTCGTTAGATCCGGGCCAATCCGTTTCGATTCCGAGTTTGGTCCAGTCTATTTCGGTTTCCTCTCTCGCTGGTCGGGCCTTGATAACCCACATTCATTTCTCCGAAGACCTCTGAGGAGTTGCTTCCTAACCCTACCTGCCTGGCTCCCCCTTCCGCCCACGAGCGGCGGAACAGATCAGTATCCGCGCCCTCGCGGTCTGGATTCTTGGGCGCGGTCCCGCGGATCAGTGGTCGCACAGACGCGTTCCGCGCGGGGCATCCGCGAAAGAGACGCCCCGCATCCGCCGGACCGATCTGTTCGCCGGTTGTGGGCGGAAGCCGGGAGCCAGGCGGGGTTGGGAAGCATTTCCTGGGAGGTACTCGTAGCAACGATTCTGGCATGTGGAACCCGATCAGCGCCGCCGCGACGGAGACGGCGACCCTCCCCCCCCCAGCGGGGGGCCGCCGCGACGCGACCCGCGCCGCCGCGACAGAGATAGCGATCCCCCCCCCCCCAGGCCTGGCGGCGAGGCGTCTGGCAGGCCCGCGCGCGCCGCGCGGCTTTTTTTTGTTGGGGGGTGGGCTACTTCAGATTCAGAAGCGCAACAGGTGTGGTGGGCTTCTGTGACAAAATGGGCCTCCCTGATAGGGGTCGGAGTGGATGGAGCCGCACCGCCGATGTGTCAGGGATGCAAATCGATGTGGAGCCCGCCCTTCTCCACGCTGGCGTCGCCGATGCATCACTGATGCACCAGCGACGCATCGGCGATTCGTCGCGGTCCTCCGACCCATTCTACTCGTACCCCATTGAGGAGGCTTCTAATTTAACGACGCCCACCCTCCCTGATTGCAAAATGCGTAGGAGCGGCCACGGATAGAAATCCAGGCAGCTCTTTTCTTTGAGTCATTTCCCTCCCCGCATCCGTCGGCCCCTCGTTTTCTGCATGCCTGCCACGGTGCGTCGCCTTGGCGTGGCCGACCACCACTGGGGATGCTTGCCTGCGCGCCGCGCAGGGGAGGCAGGCCATCCTCTGCAGGAGCCGCTCTATTCGTTGCCATCCCGCCAACGCTCATTCATGTTATTCTCCCGCCATCATGAACGGTAATGCTAGTATCCAGGATCTCCAGGGTTGCCAAGGTTCACCATTGTTTCTTACGGCCTTTAGAAACAAGGGCCGCTACCCCCCCCTAACGTGAACTACCCGCCTAACGTAACCCGGACCTCGGTGACACCAAGCCCAGCTCGCGCGGAATGGGCGTGACACTTGCTTCTGGCGACACGCTTGTCTTGGAATGATGCTCTCGCTTGCGTGTGGGCCTCTGGATACTACAGAAGTCCTGGGACGCATCCTGAGCCAGTCGTACCATGACATCCTTCTCGTCTCAATGAAGGCGAAGCAGAGTACCTGCGGGAAACGGGCCCTGAAAGTGTTGTTTTGCGTCTGCGATCAAAAAGCCAGCCTCGGGGCGAGGGAGAGGGGGAAGCTCGAGCGGTGGCGAAACATCTTGGCATGTCTATAGGCCCATCAATTAATGTTCTAAGAACCTTGTGTGGCTTGCGCGAAATGAGATTCGAACATTTCTGGCTGAGACGATCTTGTTATACTATATCGGGCAAATGTTCTAAGAACATTGTTTTAGTTCTTAGACCATCTGGGGGGTCTGATAACATGTCGTGGCAGGCCTATGAGAATGCCAGGGACGGTCGGCCCCTGCTCAGATGGTCGTCAAGCGGTCTTGCTCGGGCTGAAGAGCTGGTCCGGGGGAGAAGAGCCTCGCGAGGTCCATTTCTCATGGCGTCAACATTCCGAGGCAGGAATTTATCCATATCCACCGCCTGGAGGGTCAGTTTTCGGAGACTCGGCAGGCGGTGGAAATGTACATATTCGGGCCCCCGGGGGCCGAAATGTGTTCATATCCACCGCCCGCTGGGGCACCAGGACGTCGGTTCACAGGCGGTGGATATGGATCAATCCCCGCCTCGCAAACATGGCAGAGTCGATGTCGTTCGGAAAACGATAGAGTGGGCCCGGGGTGTCCTGGATAATTTCGTTCCAGATTTCGAGGTGAATTTCGCGCGCGGATTTTTGTTGTCCAGTAATGAAGACCAAAAAGAATCCACGCGAGATGCACTTCGTTGTTCGCTCGCCGCTTCGGGCAAAAATCCAAGCAGAAATCCGCTGCAGAAGTCCGCTGCAGCACGTCTGCAAGGCCGGTGCAATGACATCTCGTGCCAATTTTGAGACGCAGGAGCTGCAGGCTGTCTGGCGCTGTCCCCAGTGGGGCGAACATTCGCTGAATCCTGGGCGGTGAGGTTTTGGGATGCGAGGGGAGATAGCCTCGGGGGGGGACGCATCGACCCTCAATTTCCCATTCATCGCCGATGGTGGCCCGATCGCCCCACCTCGTCAATGCATCCCAAATTCAAGCTCAATATTGTTCCCCCTCGGAGCTGGTTACCTTTATCGTTCCCCCGCACCTTGGGCTTCCAGGCCGCATGGAAAGCTTCAGAGACCTTCAGAGGCCTAGACTTCCAAGGACATTCAATGACGCCCCAGGGTATACGTGGGGGTCGGAGGACCCCGATCTTCTCCATCCCGACGTCGCCGATGCATCACCGATGCATCGGCGATGCGGTGCGATCCTCCGGTGCCATTTGACCTGGCTATGAGAGGCCTCGAATGAGTCAGCTGCGTTTGCGCCCTGACGTGTTATTCATGTGTCTGGCTGGCCTCTGCGCCGTTTCTGCTTGTCTGGTGGTCGGTTGAGGGGGGTGACTCGGATTAGCGGCTTGTTCAGTTGCTCTGGAGCGCCAGTTCTGTTTGGGAGTTGGAAGGTCAAGAGGCGGAGGAGGAGAAGGAGAAGAGGGAGGGGCAGGGGAGGGAGGAGGGCGAGGCGAAGGAGACAAAGGAGCGCTCCAGGAAGGCAGTGGGGCCGTGCCGGGAGCCTTTTGGTGAATCTTGGTGGGAGTGGGGCCCGTTTTCTGAGCTCCGAGCTGCGGTCCCACACACGGTTGGGGGTGCGCCACAAGATCGATTTGCCGCCGCTTGCCCTTCCCCATCCTTCCCCCTCTTGCTAATGCATCCCTGTACTCCTCTCTCCCTTTCGGATGCAACTCCTGGAAGGTCAAATTCTTTTTGTTGCCCTGGTCCGAAATCCGGCTTAATCCGGCTCAATCCCGCTCAATCCGGCTTAATCCCGCTCAATCGTGCTTGCGCCGTCTTAATCCGAGGCCCACTCCGGCGTAACAGCCCCCTCATGGGGCTTAATTTTGTTTAAACATCTTTCCGACGCAAGCCTCCCAGTAGTTGCCGCCTAGCTCCCTCCCTTCCCTCCTCACCCCCTGCCTTCCTTCGAGTCCGCCCTCCGTCCCTGAGAGAAGAAGGAAGCATCGACACCGCTGCCCTTCCCTCGTCTTCCTCTCCTGGGGCATCCTGGGAGGCCCTCGTCGCCACGGCTGCATTCGCCTCGAAATTCTAGTCGGAACCCCAGGAGAGGTCCGGGGAGTTGCGATATCGGTTCCTTTCCCCAATCCCTCCTTCTTTCCGCCTTCTTCCTGCCTTCCTCTGTGTTCCTCTCCCTATTTGCTCATGTTTTCCTCCTCCTCCTCCTCCTCCTCCTCCTCCTCCTCCTCCTCCTCCTCCTCCTCCTCCTCCTCCCCCCTCTTCTCCTTCTCATTGCGGAGGTGTCCATTCCATTACGTCCTCCATCCCCCTGCCCTTCCTCTCCTTCCCCTCCCACTACCTCCCTCTCCCTCTCTCCTTCCCCCTCTTCCGATTTCCCCTCCCCTCCCCTCTCCATCGTCTCTCCCCTCACCTTTCCCCCCACCCATCAGCCCTTGCTCACTTCCCCCGTCCCGTCCCATCCCCGCCCCCCGCTTCCCCGGCACCCGTTGCCGCCCCCGCTTGCGCGACGACCCGCCGCCCTCGCCCCTCGCCGCGGGAGGCCTGCGTGTCGCAGGCCCTGGTCGCGATGCTCGTCGTCTGCTACGCGAAGGTGGTCCTCACGGGGCCTGGGGAGGTGCCCGACTCCGTCGAGTGGAAGATGGGCGAGAGCATGGCGAGCGGCGGGACGACGACGAGGGAGCAAGCCGACGGGGGGAGGGAGATGCACTCGTCGAGTGCTATGTGTGGGCGCACACGGGCGGCGCAGGAACAAGGGGTCGAGCGCGCCGACTGTTCGCGCAGGCTGCCCGCACAAGGGTCGCGCATCAGCGCCCCAGCTTTCCAGTGCCGCGTGCCGCGCTGGCGGCCAGCGTAAGCCACCGCATGTGGTCGCGATACCATCGCTCGTGAGATTCCTGTCTCATCGTCGCTCTTATGGGGCCCTTCGGGTATGCCCTTCCTGCACAGCTTCGCCCACCCCCCTTAATTAACGTTATCACTCCGTCAGCGTCCCTTCGAGGCGAGCAGCCTGAGGGGCACCAGAGAAGTGAAGACCAGCGGGCAGAAGCGGCACTGCAAGTGGTGCCTGAAATACAAGCCGGACAGGTGCCACCACTGCCGCATGTGCAAGGTCTCGAAGTACAGTGTGAGCGATTTTGTTATTCATTGTTTTGCCGATCGGCGCGGGCCCTCGCACCCCCCCCTCCCCGCCCCATAGAGGGGGGGGTCCCTCCCCCATCGGCCGCACTGCTGCAAACAGTCGCATTGAGCAGAGGTCCGGAGCCAGACCCCCCCCCCTTCCCCCCCCTCTTCGCTAAATGTCCAAACGCCGAATAAGAACACGCTCACAGCACAGTGCATTCGAACACATGATTTCTCTGAAGCCCGCGCTCGTTTCTGGTATCGGGGTTTGGCCCTCCAGGCGGTGCCTCCAGCGCCGCCCCTGGCGCGCTCCGCGCGGTCAGGGAGAGCAGTCCAGCGCCGATCCGAGGAAGCCGCGCGGACCTCAGAGAAACTGAGTGTTATGCCTTTCGTTGTTCCTCCTCAGGTCTGTGTCCTCAAGATGGACCACCACTGCCCGTGGGTGGCGAACTGCATCGGGTTCAGGAACCACAAATACTTTTTTCTCCTGGTGATCTACTCGGAGCTAAGCTGCCTCTTCATCGCCCTCACGGTCCTAGGGTCGGTGGTGGCGTCTCTAGACCAGGAGATGCCGACTGGGCACCGCTTCTTGCTGGCGTGGTGCGCCACTCTGTCCGTCGTCATGGGGGTCCTCCTGGGCATTTTCCTCTCTTTCCACAGCTGGCTCATGCTGAGCGGGCTCACCACCATCGAGTTCTGCGAAAAGGGCGCGACGGAGGGGCGCGACAGATCATGGACCACCCCCAGGAGGTCGCAGTGCCAGTCCTACGACAGGCAGGGCCTGCTCCGATCCCGTCGTCGATGCCGATTTCGCCAGCCTGGTCCGACTCGACTCCCACGTGCGGACAATCCGATACGGCTCGATGCCTGCATGGCGCTGCCATGCACCCTGGCGCGGCCGATCCGGTTCCGTTCCGACCCCCGTGCCGATGCGGCCCGATCCACGACACGCGCTCCGCCCCGATGCGACTGTGCCCGATCCCGGCGCCGACCTTGAGATATCCCTGGGCAGGGGGCTCTGCACCAACGTCCTGGCGGTGCTCGCGGGCGAAAAGTACACACCCATACACACACATCCACGGCCTCGCGGGCAGGCACCCTGGGCCGCGACCCCATGCTACGTGGCGTTTGTGTTGCGGATGCCCCGCGCGGATCTCATCCGTCCGACCGCGTCCCGCGGTCATATCCTCGGGGGCGCGCCTGGGTTCCTGACTGCGAGAGCGTGGATGTGGATACTCTGGCGGACTGCAGCGGGGGGACAAGAGACGCGGTTGGATCGAGGATTGCAGGAGAGAAGCCCCAGAGGGTTTCTAAATGGCCCCCGCCCCCGGGGATGCCACACCGGGCCTTGCCAACAGGTTCATTCAAGGCCTCCCAGACGGGGTCGGAGTAGATGGCTGTCGTAGGGTCGCGCCGCATCGCCGATGCATCGACGATGCGGCGATGTGGAGACCGTGCTTCCCCACGCCGTCGTCGCCGATGCGTCGCCGACGTAGCCGATTCATTGCCGATTCATTGCCGATGCATCGGCGATGCATAGGCGATGCGGCGCGATCCTTCGACCCGATCTACCCAGTCCGCATCTAGGAGGCCCCTAGTTAACAAGGTGTGCCACAAGCGCGCAATGTCAATCATTGTGCGCGATTCCTCGTCCTCCTCATCATTTTCATCATCAATGTCATCATTATCAACACCATTATTATTATCCGTATCCTTATCCCTATCCTTATCCTTATCATTATCCTTATCATCATCATCATCAGCAGTATCAGCATCATCATCATCATCAGCATCAGCATCATCATCATCATCATCATCATCATAATCATCATCATCTTGGTTATTTCGTTTCACCATCCTCAGCATCATCATCATCGTCATCAGATTCATCCTCATAGCATCCTCATCTTCATCCTCGTCATCATCAGCATCATTATCAGTATCATCATCCTCGCCATCCGCTTCTCCCCCAGGGGGTCGAGAGCGCGAAGTTCTTGTCGCTTCCCTGGCCCTTTATCTGCCAAAGCAGGCCCAACAGGTGTACGACATGTGCGCGTTTCTTCGCCCGTTAAGAAGGTTCGCCACGAAGGTACAAAGTTATTTGCGGTTCGCGATTCCTCATCCTTGCGCTCCTCGTCCTTTTCCGTAGCCGTTTTGGCTCAAGCTGTTGTTTTCAGGGCAAGCGCCGTCTGGAGCGGCGCCCGCGCATCCCCCCCGCGCTCCTCGCACAGCCCGCTCAGCACCAGCACCGGCGCCATGGCGAAGACGAACGGACGCATCGGCGTGGCGATCGTTGGACTCGGACGCGCAGGCCACTTCCACATGACCTCCATCGCCGGCATTCCCGAGCAGGCCCAGCTCAAATGGGTCGTTGACGTGGACGAGTCCCGGGCCAAGAGCATCGCCGCAGAGAAGGGTTGCAGCTGGGCGGGCTCCCTTGCGCCCGCCCTCGCGGACCCAGACGTGCAGGTGGTGATCATAGCGTCGACGACGGACACTCACTTCCCCTTCATCATGCAGTCGCTGAACGCCGACAAGTCCGTGCTCACGGAGAAGCCCATCTCGCACGAGCTGAAGGAGGTCGAGGAGGCCGTGCAGCTGGCAACCAGTAAAAACTTGCCGCTGTATTGCGGCTACCAGAGGCGTTGCGACAAGAACTTCCGTACGCTCAAGAGGCACGTGGATGATGGTTCCGTGGGCGAGCTCAAGGTGATTAAGTGCTGCAGCCGGGACAACCCTGTGCCGCCCATGGAGTACTTGCGCACCAGTGGAGGCATCTTTCACGACATGTTGATCCACGATTTCGACATGCTCAATTGGTTGAGCGGGGGCCAGGAGCCAGAGTCGGTGATGTCCGTGGGACACGCGTACAACAGCGAGATCGAGAAGATGGGCGACATCGACACCGTTGCTGTGATGCTGAAGTACCCTAGCGGCCTCGTGGCCATGGTGGACACTTGCCGCGACGCTACGTACGGCTACGACCAGCGCATCGAGGCATTCGGCGGCAAGGGAATGTTGACGGCAAAGAACGAGCTTACCAGCACTGTTGAGTTGGCTACCTCGGAGGGCCACCTTATCGAAAACGCCTACGGCGAATCACCGCTGCCCCCTGCCTTCTGGAGTCGCGCATGTGGCCGAGCATTGTGGCAAGAGCTCTGCCAAGCTATCGGACCATGTGTTCCCCCAGCCGTTTGTGGAAACCCTTCGGGGAACACTTTGGGGAGGATGGCGGGGAAAATCAAGAGGAGGAGGAGAGGGCAGCTCGGGAGCCGCTGGGGGCACTCTTGGGGCCTCCTGGGAGTTTCTTGGGAGCCTCTTGGAGACATCTTGGGAGCCTCCTTGGGCCTCTTGGAGGCCTTTGGGGACTTCTTGCGGGCTTCTTTGGCAATCTAGAGGCATTCCTGTCCTGTCTGACGCCGTCGGAAGCCGTCTTGGGGGCCTCTCTCGGCCGACTCAAGGCCCTATTGGGGTGCTCCAGGGCCGTCTTGGAGGCTATCTAGGGCGTCTTGGAGTCCTCTTGGCCGTCTTGGGGCTCCTTTGGGCTGTCTTGGGGGCCTCTTGGACAGCCTTAGAGCCCTCTTGGGGCCGTCTTGAGAGCCTCTGGGGCCGTCATGGGGCCTTCTTAGAGGCATCTTGAGACGATCTCGGGGCCTCTTTGGCCGCCTTGGGCCGTCGGAAAGCCGATAAGAAACACATGCCCCCAAACCCTTCAAAAAACAAAAGAACATCAATGATGTTGGCCTCTTCGGGCCCTCCTGGAGAACCTCAGGGAGGCATCTCGGGCTGTCTTGGAGGCCTCTTGGGGGCCTTTTGGGCCGTCTTGGCTTGTCGTGGATACATTTTTGGGCGGACTTGGAGGTTTCTGGGACCCTCTTGCGCCATCTTGGACGCCATCTTTGACCTTCTTGGGCGATTGTGGAAGCCATCTTGCCCTCTTAGAGACCATCTTGAGCTGGCTTGGAGGATTTGTTCCGGACATTGGGGTCGTTTCCTGGCCTTCCGCGGGCCTGGCGCGTTGGGCCGAAGCCCCGGGAAGAGTTCATTAGGAAAGGAACTAAATCTCAGACCGTTGGATCTAGCGCGGCAGGCACCCCTGTGGCAAGCCAACAGGGGGCGGCGGATGCCTTGCGCGAAGTGGAGCTTCCCACAGCGCTACAAGGAGGCTTACACCACCGAGCTCAACGAGTTCATCACGATGGTGCGCGCTGGACGCAGCAGCGAGCACCACCGCCTCGAGCAGGAAGCGATGTCGCGCCATCCAAGCATCGTGCGTACCACGATCGCCGCTGAGTTGTCGTGGAAGCTTGGCCGCTCGGTGGACTTGAAGGACATGGATGGCCTACTCGCCGACCTGGACAAGAGCAATAAGGATGCTGATTCTGAGACCCGGAGTACGTGCGATTCCAATCTCAGCCTTTGCATGGACGAGGGCAAGAATATGTTCGGAGACACGTTCCGCAACTATCAGGATTCGTGCCGGCAGGACGAAGTTGCCAGGACGTACAATACTATGCACACTAAGCAGACAGTGGATTTTGGCCGCCAGCAGCGCGAGCGGTGGCTGAAGTTTGAAAAGGGCGAGTTCACCGTCATGGAGATCATTGAGATGTTGGACGACCTGATCGATGACTCCGACCCCGACGTGGACCTTCCGAACAGCATTCACGACTTCCAGACGGCGGAGCGCATTCGTGCCCAGTGGCCGGAGCACGACTGGTTCCACCTGGTGGGCTTGCTGCACGACCTTGGGAAGGTGATGGCGCTGCCAAAGTTCGCCGGGGATTGGATGCTGGAGCAGTGGGCCGTTGTCGGCGACACCTTCCCGGTGGGCTGCGCACCCGCCGTGGACGCCATCGTGTTCCCAGAGTCCTTCAAGCAGAACCCGGACTACGACCACCCAGTCTATGGCACGAAGAATGGCATGTACCAGCCAGGGTGCGGCATCTCCAGCCTCATGTTCTCCTGGGGCCACGACGAGTACATGTACCAGATGCTCAAGTACAACGGCTGCACCATTCCAGAGGTGGGCCTCAACATGATCCGGCTCCACTCGTGCTACCCATGGCATGACAAACGCGCGTACACGCATTTTGAGGTCGCGGAGGACAAAGAGACCCTTCGGTGGGTGAGGGAGTTCAACAAGTTCGATCTGTACTCCAAGGGCGATGCTGTCCCTGACGTGCAGGCGCTGAAGCCCTACTACGAGTCTCTTCTCGTGAAGTACGGCATCGGTGGTAAGCTCCGCTGGTGAGCCCAGACTGGTGCCCCCCCCACACACGTTGGCACGCGATGCGCGCCAGATCCGGTGCGTGACGTGGGCGGGGGGATTGGGGGAGGATGGGGAGGCTGAGAGGTCGGTGTGGCGGTGGAGGAGGTGGAGGATGATCAGATCAGACACCTATAGAGGCTTGTCTGCAGATCTTGACTTATTTAAGCGCCCCCTAGCCCTAGGACCGACTTAACAGCCGCGAGTTTCGAACCACCAGTCCGCCCTGAGTACCCAGGGTATGGAAAGCTAAACATTCCTTTGAACACATCAAACACATCATAGATGGCATCCTAACAAGCGGGCTGCGGACAGAGCTAGGCTGTCACCAAAACTTGACTCCCGAGTGCAGAAGTTCCAACACGTTTTGCAAGCGGAGTAGGGAAGGAGGGAGGTGACGGCGACACCACGAGAGGGACAGGACACGGGTGAGAAGGGGTGTAGGTTTCCGCCAGACAGGCGGCGGCAGCGCGAGCCTCAGAAGACCCCGAAGCAGGACACGAGGCTGAGGCAGTAGTCATGGCGCGTCTCGAAGACGCAGAAATCATTGCATTCGCTGTGGCTCTTGCACCGCACGCATAGATGTCTGTATGGATATTTATATGTGTATATGTATATTCATTTTCATTCAGAAATAGACATCTGTCTCGCACTCGTTGTACGCATCATCATTATGGTAGCCAACACCGCTTCACACATTGTGCCAGACATTTTCCTGCACATGGCTTAGTCCGTCATCTCGTTGCACAGCATGACCGTTTGCAGCGCTCTATCTAGATGACCCATTGGTGCCACTCCCTCCTTCACGGTGGCCCCGAGCTGCTCGCAACAACAAGCGATTCACGTTTTGAGAGGCTCTGTGCCTGGGCATCAACACTTTGCATACACCTTCTTTGAACGCCGTCGTTGACCAGCGGGAAGGACGCTGCCTCTGCTAAGGTCAGCTTCATCCCTCGTACACTCTGCCCCGTTTCCTCGCATTCTGCCGTCAATCCTGCAAGACTGGCCACAGTCATCGTACCCACCTTCAGAATCTCGTCGTCTTTGCCACGTGCTCTCAGATCCTGCGCCGCCTCCACCCACACTTTCACGCGGGCCTGACTTTCAGGATAGGGGGTAGCTTTGCCTGGCATCATGAGCGTCAACACAGTAGAAGCCTCTTGCTGTCTTGTGCGCGCATCGTGACACGCATCTTCATGAGCGCGGGTACGATATGTTTACTATGTGCCGACTCTATCTCCTCGGGCTCCTCGATCACCTCTGGGCCTACGATGCGGTTGCTTGCCTTCTTCTGCGTCGCCTTCTTCGCACGACCACCGTCGCTTCCTCGCCCGTCGCATCGTCTGCGGGGCTGCTCGGCCTCGGACGCGGCAGGAGAGAGCGCTGCAAACATGCCAGGCACACTCTGGAAATGGAACAGGGGGGTGAAACCGAAGGTACCATTGCAAGGCTTCGAACGTCTGAAAAGACTGCGAACATTCAGGACATGCACTAATCTCTGGGACTTCAGCTTGATGATTAAATATTGACGGATCCACACGACACCTTCCAAGAGCATACGCATGTGCGAGATGCATGTTGGCCGTGCCTCTGCACTGGACTGCCGATGAGCATGCCATACATGGATTAGCCAGGACAGGCCTTGGTGCGATAACAAGGCGCACCATGATCACCGGCTGTCGCCTGCATTTGACGTGCCAGCAGAATCTTACAGAAGTGAACATCCGATCGTATTGGGGGCCATCCAAACTCAGCAGAGTAGATCACTCTTCGTACGTTCCAGTATATTATTCCCCTTCACCGTACACTCCATATACTCCAGGTCCTGAATCATTACTTGGCTCGGAGGTTTTTACTCGACGTATCTTTGGGTTTGGTCTCCAAGTGCGGGTACCCGGAACCGTACATGTGATTACATTCTCGATTCCCAGTGTCCCGAACACAGCCGTGAGTTGTTAAACATGCCAACTTGGAGATAGACCAAGACTGTCAGTCTTTCAAACGTTGCACTCTGGGCCCCAGTTCACAGAGGCACAAGTTCAGCACGTCGCCACAATTCAACAGCAGGCGGAGTCTGAGTCGCGATCGTCTCCGTTCAGTCAGGATGCACCGCTGGTACTCTAACAGCTACTCCTCCCAGGAAAACCCTCCGGTACTTCAAGCAAGTGGCCGTAAGACGGGCAACGCGAGACTCAGACAGGACCACGGTCGTCAATAAACTTGCTTCAGAGACTGGTTGACCAGGAACGCCTCATGCGAGCCCAGCGCATAGTCGCCGCAGCACACCTCGCCGAGATCTCAATCAAGGGCCCACGACTTGTTGGTAGCGAACAGCGTGCCCCGGAATGGGACCAGAGGGAGGACTACGCCAGGGAGCTGAACAGGACCCGTGTGCGCGAAGACCACTCGAGTGTCCCAGTTTGTCCCTGGACCACAAAGATCACCCTGGCGAAGGGCCCAACCATATGCAGTCGTAGTACCGTCGTTGCGGGGATCGCCTTCCGGGGGGGCCTCATGGAGCCATAAAGCATGCGGGCCTCCGGTGGAGCCCCCTTACGATGACACGACGCGCTGTACTGAGCGGGGGGGAATGCGAACACCACCACTGGGGCACGAAACGCTGTATTGGGCGGGGGAGACGCATGCGAACACCGCCACTGGGGCCTTCGGTAGAGCTTCCTGGGGGAGACGCATGCGACCACTGCCAGTGGGGCCTTGGGTCCCCAGGCAGCGCAGCACGGCCGGGGGGGACGCATGCAAACACCGCCATTGGGGCATTCGGTGGAGCTCCCCATGGGGCTACGAAGCGGTGTATTGAGCGGGGGAGACTCATGCGAACACCGCGATTGGGGCCCTCGTTGGAGCTCCCCATGGGGCCACGAAGCGCCGTACTGGGTGTTGGGGGGGGCGCATGCGAACACCGCGATTTGGGCCTTCGGTGGGGCCTCATGTGAGGCCACGAATCGCAATATTCGGTGGGGGAGACATGCGACCACCGCTACTGAGGCCTCAGGTGGTGCTCCCCATGGGGCCACGAAGCGCTGTATTGGGTGAGGGAGACGCGTGCGAACACCGCACCTGGTGCCTTCGGTGGAGCTTCCTCTGGGGCCACGCGGCATTGTACTCTGTGGAGGGGACGCATGCGAACACCGCAATTGGGGCCTTCGGTGGAGCTCCCTGTGGGGCCACGAAGCGCTGCACTGAGCAGGGGGGACGCATGCGAACACCGCCACTGGTGCCCTCGGTGGAGCTCCCTATGGGGCCACGCGGCATTGTACTGGGTGGAGGGGACGCATGCGAACACCGCGATTGCGGCTGTCGGTGGAGCTCTTTTTGAGGCAAAGAAGCGCTGCGCGGAGTGGTGGAGACACATGCGCACACCTCATTGGGTTCCTTCGGTGGAGCTCACTATGGGGCCACGAAGCGCTGTACTAGAGACTCATGCGAACACTGCCACTGAGGCCTTCGGTGGAGCTTCCTCTGGGGCCACGAAGCGCCGCATCGGGTGGGGGAGACGCATGCGAACACCGCCACGGGTGTCTTCGGTGGAGCTCCCTATGGGGCCACGAAGGGCTGCACGGAGTGGGGGAGACGCATGCGAGCACCGCGACTGGGGCCTTCGGTGGAGCTCCCGATGAGGCCACGAAACGATGTACTGGGGGGGGAGTCGCATGCGAACACCGCCACTGAGGCCTTCGCATGCGAACACCGCACCTGGTGCCTTCGGTGGAGCTTCCTTTGGGACCACGACACGAATGTGGGGCCGGCGACGTATTCTCATCATAACCGAATGCGTTTCACATATCATGTTTGGTGCCAGTTGTAGACACTTTGCCCTTCGTCACCCTCCAAGACAACGCAGCAGTAATTCGAATGGCTCCAGTTCCAGAATTTCGATGTAAACATCCGTAATCATAGATGGAAGCGTTTAGCTCGCCTCCTTGCCGTCTTTACCGGCATTCTACCGAAAGGACGAAGTCCATGCAATAGTCTCAAGTACTCCGAGTCCCAGCATAGTTGGACAATTGGTATTGAAGGACACCTTCCAGCGAGCAACTAATCGCTCATGCTGCCGCACTGTACAGTTGAACCGCACGCCAAGAAACACCCTGCTTGCCTTCAGGGTGCCCTGGGTTTCTTTGGTTCCGATGCCTCAGCTACGGAAAGCGTGGCGTTCTCACACCAAACATCATGCTTGTCCTGGGGTTTCAGGGTTGGGTTTCATGTGGAAGGTTCTTTGTGGCTCAGCTGCTATTGTAGTCGAGATCGCCGCGGCTCACCTGCGAAAGAGAGGGCCCACACCTGCGGGCGACGGGGCTCCAAGGCCACCATCGCGCACCAGAGCGTCTGGTCTACGAGCGAGCACGAGCGACCACGCATTTCAGTAGGCTCTCCACAGTACCGCAGCCCGCCTACTCGCCGTTCTGAAGCTTCTGCTGATTATGTCAAGGTCTGCCTGCCCCTCCTCCACATCCAGGCGCGAAGGCAGCACGGCAGCACCATGACGCGACGCACTTGAATGGAGTTAATGTCGTTGCCGATCTCGGCAGCATTCATACCGGCCCTGTTGGACGGCATCGCGAGGTCCTCCATTCATTCTTCCTCCTTGGTCCCAAGTCAGCTACTGTGTGCCCGAATCTATTTTCCTTGGGTCCCAAAGCAGCCCCGACATGAGACAACCTATCCCCCACTTTTCAGGAGCAAGACTTTTGGACTGTGCTTGCTGCAGCTCCTCCACGGGCTGTCTGTCCCTCATCTCGTTCAGCCTCCTCGGCTGTTACGTGTGATACGGGTTAGCTCGATCGCCGATTCCAGGGTTCCAGTGTCGTTCTCGAGCCTCCCCCCGATCCCGAAGTGCGCGAACTTTTTCGTGTACCTTTTTTCACACTCAGCAAGTAGAGCATTAGGTGTATCCTCGAAGCGTTTAAAACCTACCCGGACAGGCTCGACAATTTCTACGCGGCCTCAAGGCTTAGATTTTGTGC